GTAGCTAATGTGTTTGTAACTATCATGTGCCTTAAAATTTTCATGGTAGGAGAATAAAAAGAAAATCAACAATGTGTTTTCTGTAATACTGCTCAACATTCTCTCTGTAGTTTAGACTGGTGGGATTTTGCATTGTATTTACACTGTACTATAAACTGAAACACTTAGAATGGTTTGATTTTACAAGTATGGAGAGGAAAAAAAAGGTGGATTATGCTTTTCATAGAACAAATGTTACCGTGACAGAATGTATTATTATTATAGGATCTTTCCATAACGCAGACAAGTAGAATGCTTGTTAGAAACCAGGTATGTAGGTTAACAATTTGGTGTGTTTTCAATAAACCATGCCTGGAAAGAATACATGTGCCATTGGTTATCTTTTCGTTAGGTACCTCAAATATTCTTTGGCTTTCAACAGCAGTTTTCTATGGCAGGGGATTTCCACCCTAGCTCAGGTCAGCACTCAGTGTTAGTAAAAGGTCAGTGGTAATGAGGGCAATTAGAATATCCTTTAAACTAGTATAGCTGAAAATTTTTGAATTATTGCCGTATGCTGGAGTTGTAGCACGACCCTGGACTGTAGATCATGGGATTTTTTTCCTTTTTAATATACAAGCATATTTCTGTGGGAAAGACATCTGTGTCACTGTTCAAAGGCCTGTACATTTGGGACCACAAGCCTAATTTGCTGATGGCTTTCCCATTTGGGAAGTTATTAACCTGTCCAAATTTAGTCATAAAATCCATGTAACTTTACAGATTTCACATTTCTGAAATGTGTGCAAGTATTCTTATAAGTGTATCAGAACAACAGGTAATCTTTAATTTTATTGTAGCAATGTATGAGGTCTGGTTGACATGAGAAATTGTGATTTTGGGGATGTGCCAAATAATTCACGGTTTTTGCTGTGTGGGGGAGAAAAATCCCAATACTGAAAAGTCAACCATGCATTTCAAGTAACAGCCAGTTACCAACAGATCTTAATTCTCTTCAGGACTGCCTCTCCCTGGCATGTTCATCTGTGCTGAGAAGATCAGCAGGGAGACTGATGCACCTAAACACCTCATACTTACCGCCATGCCTTCATGAAGCACGACAAAACCCAGTAAACGTTGACATAAGTGTTGTGCAAGGTCTCACAGATAGAGCGGAGGTCAGGTTTTCTGTGAGTGAAAGGCTGAAGAATCATTGCCAGTAACGGAGTTTGCCAGATGTTAATTCCTGATTGTACCATTCACAGCACTATAAGCTTCCGTTTACTTGCGAACACTTGCAAAGAGCACTTGGGAGGTCATCTTCAGCTTGCCTTCCCTCCTTATTTCAGATGTCCTAAATGCATCCCCAGGAGTTCTGTAAAATCATCTCCAGATTCTGTTCTTGCAGCTGGAGGATCTAGTTTCACAAGTACTGTGGTAAGATGTGGGGTCCTGGGCTTAGCATCTTGCTCCTCGCTATCATTGGTGTTCTGCTGCAATGAGGAATCTGATTTTTTCTTCATGGATGCACTAATACGGCAATGAATAGCAGATGCTGAAGGTAAGGTACTGAGCTAAAACAAATATGTTGTTTCTAAACTGACCTTTTGTAGCTGTCAAAGTGATTTCATTCCCAGCTTATCACAGGTTGGGCAAATGCAAGCAGTGAGTCCTGCAGGTGAAAGGTTAACCTGGTAACAACAGGCAAGAAATATCGCAGCCCTCATCTGTTTCAGCAGTGTCTTGGGGGAGTATTTTGTCCTCATGGGTGTCTTCCCCAGTGTCTTACTGTGAAGGCCTCTGTGCAACTGAAGCACAGCGATGGCAGAATCTCATTCTGCTACGAGCTGACAGAGGGCATTTTTTACAATGGGAAGTTGTTTTATAATGGGACCATTAACTGAGCTGTAGAGACACAGGCAAAGACTAAAATTTTTACTACATTTAGTGTGGGTGCACAGCAAACATAGCTAGCTGTTATTCATAAGATACTTTATAATTGATTCCTAATTGACTACTCAACTAAATAAGCACCTATCACTGCCCTGGTGGTGTCACCTTTGGTGGGAGAGTTGGGATCCCAGCAGTCTCTCTCTTCCTGCTCTTGTAGGGGTTTCTCTGTGTTCTCTTCACTGCATCTCATGTTGGACTCTTCAGTGGGGTGCTTTTCACCTCCTCATACCAGTGGGGGGAAGCACGAGCTCCTGGACAAATGAGTGATTGCTGTTTGCTCTGATGAGTCATTTCTGCTGTAAGGATTGCTACAGGGGTGCTGTTATGCAATTTGGTATTAAATTAGGAAGCGAAAGGGACTAGTGCTGGGTTTGACTTCCTCATAAATCCTCTTCCTCTCTCGTACAGTGATTTAAAGAATCAGTTCAGTATTTTGAAAGACAACATCATGTCCCTTTGAGGTAACAGAGAGGCTCTGGAAGAAACCAGACCTCACTTCACATGTTGCCTGAATCACTAAGACAACCTGGAGAGTAGCCGTCATTTGGAGAACAGATCTCAATTACCAGTATTTGGTGGGATCAACCATTTGTGGCACGAGTTGTGAGAATTTGCTGAAAGCTGTGTGTTGTTTTAGGGGAGTTCTTTCCATTGGGAGCTTTCTGTCAGTGGCACACTCTCAGTGGGTTAAACGCATGCTTCCAGATGCACAGTTCCATACGTGTCTTGTGCAAGGACAGGTTGTGTCTTCTAGCTGCAATAGGCTGATGTTGCACTAGCACTCAGTAAGTTTTCAGAATATATTTGAATTAGAAGATCCATTGTTTACCTTTTGCTTCTCCCAGAATTCAAAGCATGACCTTTTTTAAAAAAAGTAACTCTTCTCCCTGGGAGATTTCACAATTATGTGTCAGTGACTCCGGATCATATTTGCTCAACTGACCAAAAGCCTTTTTTCTAATTGTCAGTCATGCAAACTGAATCAGGCTTTTTCCTTTTCATCTCTTGCCACCAATAATTAAGAGCATTTCAGAAGTGTGGTCAAGTGGAAAAATTTTTCTTGCGTATAGAATTCTGTAAATAATCTGATGATAGACACACTGTGTTTATTTTTACAATTTGCCATGTGGGAGATCCTTTCTAATGAATTAAAATACCTTTTTTATACTAAAAGGTGGCTGTTATATTTGCAGATATATTACACATGCATTATTCATTAATGCCTTTTTTGAAACATCCATGCTAACTCTAGAGGTTCCCTCCTTCCCTAATTTTCTTGACGGTCTCTCGGACGGGAATTTTGGCCATTAACTAGTGGTAGGAGTGTATTTTTCTGATCCTCTTCTGTAAAGTGCAGAACAGTCTACATGTTTACTCTTACACATCATTCAGCAAGTATCTGAGACTTTGGTTTGTTTATCAGTATGTGTTAAGTGCCCTGCTATGGCAGGAGTGTGTGTTGAGGTGTGAAGGTGTTTAAGGCTAGAAAAAAAAGAGGATTCTTCAGAGTCATGACCTTAGGTGTACAGAAAAAAATTCTGGTCAACTGTATGTATCCAGATTTTCCAGTGTGCTCTAAAAACTTGTGTATGCCACTAAATAGGCTTGAAGATTATTTTCTTTTGCAAATTTTGCAAAAATTGCTTGGAATCACCTGAAGGACTTTGGCCCAGTGACTTTGAGTTGAGCCTGAATACCAAGAGGATGTGCTGCTAAACAAACTTACGGAATAAATCATTAACTTACACGTAGTGCGAGATGGAAGTGTTAGAACTCAGGGTCTGCTCCTACGCAAGACAGCACAACAGAGTCGCAAGGGACTGCTTCTGCAGAATCTAATCCAGTACAGTGAATCCTGTGTCTTTCTCAATGTGACAGAGTCTAAACTGTTAAAGAAACTCTAATGCTGCCTTCTCGTAGCCCTGTGAAGTGCACACATTACAAGCTGGCTGGGTCATGATGGTTTGCTTGGTCCATTTCTAAACTGACTGTCACCTTAGCCTGTTTGAGTTTTCTTTTATACTGTGGGGCAATTCTCTGCTACGCTTGGTATTGGTGTCCTGGAGGTGGATTTTCTGTAGCACACAGGTCAGGGTAGATGCCACTTCAGTAAGATGGGCTATAAAAGGAAGAAGCTGATAACAGGTCTGAAAGAATCCATAATGGAAAAGATGAGAACGGTTATCCCTGATTTTCACTCTGATTTTCAACTGTTGGATCTTTCTGTGGCTGTTCCAAGGCTGGAAATCCCAAGTGCAGTGCAGAATTCATGGGAAATAAAGGAAGCCATGTGCCTGCTCTATTGTTTTTTAGTTTTTATTTATAAATGTGACCATTGCCTCATTATATAATCACAGCAGGATATGCCAGGAAATGTCAGTGGATTTTTGCATTGTTCAGGTGAGTTAGAGAATTCAGATTTGGCTTTGTGCCTTCTCCATGATAACCCTCACTATTTACATAGTGTTAACACCAAGGTTAATGAGGGTATGCAGGACCCACCTAGTAAAACCCATTCTCTTGGGTCTTTATTTTTATACAGCATCCTAAACATACACAGCACATCAGAGTAAGCAGCTTGCCCTGCCCCTAAAAAGCACATACTACGTATATACAATATAATGAGGGGATAAGTAAATGTGAGGGGATAAACAGCATTTTCTCAAGGTCTCTGATATTACATAGTTTTGGTGTTCTTTTGGAAAGAGCCTGCTCCTTTTCTTATCTGTCCGTTAACAGTGTTTATTTTAATCTATTTACTACTTCAGTTTTCCCTACCTCTCTCTGCATGGGCAGATTAATAATTTTGTTTGTCTTCTGCAAATTCTGTTTTATTTTCTCATCACTGCATAGGTCTTTCTTCTTTCAGTGCATGCCCTTTTCTCTCACGTAGTGATGATTAACTGTTGCAGTAACTATGCAAAAATGTATCTGATACCACTACAGGACCCTTCGCTGCATTAAGTGACATGCTAGTAATTTAGCAAAATCAGGGCTCCTGAAATGGTCCTTTCTTGCAACATGCATGCTTTTTTTCCACTCTTCATAATGACTAATCAGTTTAGCTTGGGGACACAAGTCTTCAGAAGTTGCAGCAACTTTCTCCACCTTACCCTAAGCTCAAACTGTGATTGTTCAGGTTTGAGCTCAAAATAAGAGACTATGTTGTTCAACAATGTGTTGGTCAAGGCAAGGTGATGTGCATCACCTTGGGTTTGCTGAATTATGTGAAACAATGGAAGAGACCTTTGAGTAGTTACCCTACTTACTCCCAATCTTGGTTTCCACCTGGTCTAAAATGATCTCCACTAGCGCTTGCTTTAATTACAGGCTCCAAAATAAAAAAACAAAACAAAACAAAATTTAAAGCATGTACCAGTTAACCTGTGCAGTTGCATTTATGTCATTTGAAACAAAGGTTGAGTATTAATGGCTCTCTTTATCCCAAAAACACCGCCTTTTCCATTGCATCGTCCACTTTCATATATTCCAGATGAGATGGGTAGTTAGTACATTGGAAACGGGGGTTGTTGCGGATATAGTTAAGGAATTCTGGAGCTCCTGGGACGATGATATTGTCAGCCAGAAGAACCGAGCCCTTCCTCAGCAAGTTGCATTCCTAGAAAGAAGAGAAATTGCTTCATGGTGGCTGTTAAGCAGACATTGGCTTGAATGTAATGTGCTTTCATGTTAACTGTTTCATACTCAAGTGCCTGCATCCCAAAGTCCATTGTACTGTCGATTTGGAGGGAAGAAAAGGCATGGGAGAAGCTGAGTAACTCTCCGATCCTTTGCGGTCAAGTTTAATATGCTGACTTTTTTCTGTTAACACAATTAGTAGAACATTAGAGATGCTGACAACATGTTGGGTCAATCAGGTTCTGAAAGAGCAAATAAAGTGCAGCGGAGCTGTGCAGTTCACTGCAGTTCATTTTAATGCCTACGTGAACAGTAAGATGGTTTTGTTTTGGATGTTGTGCCTAATGTTTGAAAACTTTTTTTAATATGGCATTAAAATGTTGTTGTAGCTCTTAAGGTCACCTGAAAGACAGGCAGGTACCAGTCTGCTTTGGCCAGTCTCAGTCAAACTCCAAAACCACTAAATGAATAAAAGATTTTCTGTGCTTGTTTTCCTTTCACCTTGTACAACTTTCTGCCACTTTGTTCAAGAGCTGGGCATGAAGCAGGGTTTGTGCACAATGAAGATCACTCTGACAAATTTCCACAATTAACTTGCAACTTTCACTTCAAGTGCAATGTTTATTCTCAGTAAACCTACAAACCTAATTTTTACTGGTATTTTTGTCTAGTAAAAGCTGCTTATCTGAGCTGCTTTAAAACAGAAAGTATGTAGTTAATCAGGCTGTTTGTTAACCTGTGGTTTCAGGCAGCAGTTGTAGCCAAAACACAGGGTGGTTTTTGTTGCTCCCAGTATATTTGAGAAGTCCTGTTGAAGAGTGTGCTGCAGAGGCTGTTCAGCTTACGGCTTTTGCCTCTGGTGACTGAACACCAGTTAGAACAGTAGAAGCAATATTAGAGATATGGCAAATATCCTCCAGTCTGTTTCAGTTGCGCAGCTTATAGAAGCCTACAAGTGACAACATGCTGTATTTTCCACTGGTCATCAGGATTTCAGATGCTCTTCATGTCAGACTCTTCTAGAAGTGCATGAAAAGGAATGCTGTCTGGGCCACTTTCAATATATACTTCATCTGACTATTTTATATTCATATTTCATATGCGTTACTCATATTGAAATACATGCAAAATTGCACGTTACAAGGTTTGTAACATCTGAGAAAATGTGGGGATCTTGTCTTCATTTTTTTTCATCTTTCTCCTCTTAATTTCATAAGTGTGTTTTTAAGCAAAGCAACTTTGTGTCACAGTTGCATCATACTGACCACTACCATGGAACTAAACTATGTTTGTTTGTCTCTGTCCGATAAGGATGCCCTGGCTCTTGCCAGCGAAAAGAGCTCAGTCATCCTTACACAGCTAGTTTAAAAGAAAACATTTTCTGGGTACAAAATAACTGTAGGGAGGGAACATTTTCTTCAGCTACTGCTGTGTAAATTCAATACTGGCTGTTCATAACCCCAAACAAATTTCCTTTTCAAACAGCTATCTGGAGGACAGGGCTGAAATTAAAAAACAAGGGAGCCTGGATGAGAAAATAATGTTGTAGTCCTCATACAGGGGTCAGGAAGTAGTTGGCAGGTTCTCAGTGTAAAAGGCAGCCTCAAAAAAAGTGGATTTATTTGTGAAGAAAATAATTGAAAAATGACACTTCCATACAAATAGTTAGGCAGTTGTAGAAAATATTATCAGCCTGTAGCTCCAAAGCTAGGAGAGTATTTTTATGTGCTGTGTTGATAGATACAGATGTCGTCAATCTCAGTTATTTAACACCTGAAAATACCTTCCTATCCAGAATTCCTCTAGTAGTTACCTCACCTATCATTGCTTACTACTGTTCCAGCCAACTTGTTTTGTAATGCAAACAGTAATGGTTAAGGCACATTGGGATGAAATCAGCATAATTTTTCCACATTTGGGGCTGGAGATATGAGTGGGACAGCACATCTCTACCAAGTGTCTGACTGGGGCAGTCTGCACTCCTCCAAAGGTTGCTTTGCAGCTAATTAATTAGGTGGAGTAAAGACTCACAGAAAGATGATACCCAGTTGTGCTACCAAAATAGTAGTTCATCAAAAGGCTCTGCTAGCACCACAGACCCAGGCAAAAAAAAGAAGTACCGAGGAAATTAAGAGAAGTAGAGCTGGGATATGCAGGTCCTAAGTCTCACCTGCTCCCAGGATCAGGATGGTTTTGGGTCAAGTGTTCTGGTTAGTGACCACGCAGACACTCCTTCTAGGGAGCGTAAGACCCAGACCATGCACTCCTCCAGCTGCGATTTCTACTGCAGACCCGTTCGTTCAGGAAACAAAATGATTCAACAGGATTTGTCAAGTCCTGAGCCATGGGATGTCGGCAGTTGTCCCTAACAAAAGTTTGAGATCTTGTCTCCCAAATCCTCTTTTCTTGTAAGGCAGGTATTTTGGCTGCCATTCTTCATTTTACACAGGATGAGATCCTTCATAAATACAGGCCTCACAGACATCAAGGCGTTTGCTACTTTACTTTTAAGACTGGAATTGTTCAAACTGACCTGAAGCAGGATGGTGTCTGGTGTGTATCTATCCTTCCAGTGGTCCAGGAAGACAAAATCCAGAGTATCCACTTCATACTTTTTCTTCAGCTGGGGGATAATTTCCTCTGAAGGGCCTTCTAGGAGTTTTACCTGAAATGCAAATCCATCTGTTGAATTGTGAACCATTAGGAAAAAGCACGTACCTCTAGCTCATTTTAAATTGTAGCCAGACATCAGTGATCCTGTTTATAGTTCAATATTGCATCAGTTAATTATTCAATAGAGTTAGACCAAGTGTACTTTTTTCTTTTTGACAAGAAACTCTGTTATGTTCCAAAATATGGACTTGGGTGGGGTTATGTTTGTTTGTTTGTTTTTAATAATAGCAGAAAAAGTGACCTGCTGTTTCTGTTGGATAATGTGATTCTTTACTGGAAACTTGGGAATCTCCTGTTGAAAACAGTACTTTTAATTACTTTTTTTAGTTACATCTCAGTTGAATCTTGTGGTCCAAGGGAAGAAAAAATACAGAAAACAAGTAAGTTTAGAATAAAGCTGGAGACTACAGTATGTAAAATTGATACGGCCAGTAGAGGGAGGAGGCAGGACAGAGGCTATTACATCTTCCTCACAGGTTTATTGGCATAGGTACTGTTAAACTGACAGAAGCTGCTGCACATTGATTTGTTAAGCAAGCGCCATATACTGTGAGTGGAGAAAAAAAAATGGTAAGGAAATCTGTCTGGTTTATGAATCACAGATGATCAGGAGATTGAATCAGATGGGGAAAATGCAATTTTAGATGTCACTAGTACTTCAGGTTCTCTTCAAAAAGTTAAGAAATGCATTAGAGGATCTCATGGTGGGATTAATTTCCTCTAGTTTTATCATCTACATTGAAGTGAGTTGTCTAGTCGAATGGACAGGCACTTCTCAGGCATGAAGCCCCTGACCTGCTGTAGATGTCTGCCTTGGGCTGACAGGGATTATAGACTGGAAATACCTGCATCTCAACCAACTGTACAGAGAGTCAAGACACCTCAGATTGCATGAAATGTGGGTATATATTTTGTGACCGACTAGATTTGGGTAAGTACATCTCATCTGAAGTCTATTGCACATAATGCAACTGCTTCTGGTGAGCTTTTGTAACAAATTAGACTATGGTTCAGTTTTCTGTTGTACTCAGTCTTGACAGTGATTTAAACATTTTAGTTTATATAGAGAAAACCAATATTCTAGTATAGCTTTTGGGAGGTAACAGTGAAGTCCTCAGCTGTGCTGCTGTGAGAGGTCAGGGACTGTAACTATGCATGGAGCTAGTTAAATTAATAAGGACTGTGGGTGCAAGAAAAAAAAGAATACAAAATATCTATGAATAAATGTCAGACAGAAATCATAGAAAAGCTTCCGATTATCAGGAGGAGGAATCTGTGCGGCAGTCTTACAGTTCAATAATGGCAGTAGATCCAACCAGTTTTGCAATAGTGGTTACTAATATTATGAAAAGGACTGTGTGCAGTAATATCCTGTGACCATAAGAAGTGAAATAACTGACTTTGGAAGCTCCCTGCAGGTCTGTATTATTCTTACAGTCGCTATGGATTTTGAAAATAGCTTTCAGCAAATGGCCTGTCTACTGCACTAACCAGTGAATAGTGAAGAGGCCAAACTAGAATATGAAGTCTAAATGCTTTCAAAATGTTAAGGAGATAGGGATCTATGTGATTGTTTCTGGTCTTGCCCCTCCAAATCTTCATCCTGACTCATGCAGCAAAGAACTTTGGAGAACAGTCCTGATCATTTTGGTCACACACACACATCTCGACAAGCCTCAAACTCTATCCTGACTCTCAGCTGGGGCTGCATCATACTTGGACCCCTGACTGATGCTAACAAATTTAGCTCACTTGCACTGTATATACAAAAGAGCAGACAACCTTGGTCCTCTGCTTGGACAGTGGTAGCTTTTCCCTGCTATCAAGCGTGATGGTTAAACTCTGCATGTTCCCAAACACTTAGAGTGTCATACTTACTTGACAAGTAAGAAACAAATGTAAACCTATTACTGTTGTTTCTATGAAGTCCCATTCTGCATGCATTGCTTCCTCATACCAACCAGAGATAAATGATATTTACCTTATCTTGTACTCCTGCAAACTCAATCATTTGTTTAGCTATAGCAGCAAATTCTGGGTTGAATTCCACAGTCAGAAGATGAGCTCCTGCCTTCAGTAGCCGAGCAATCCTAACTGCTGAGTAGCCACAGTAGGTTCCCAGCTCCAGTGCAACTGATGGATTGACCTCTTCCACTGTCTTGTCTAGAATTAAACCTGAATGAAATGGAAAGAGGTTAACTTTTGACAAAATCAAACTGGTGCACATGCAGAAGAGCAAGTTAGTGACAAGAAACTTACAAAGTCTGTGCACTCAGTTGCTCAGGACATTCAAAAACTAAGGGCTGATGTCAAATTATATGCTTTATCCTTTGCAAATTGGCAATCAAGTTGATCGCGGGCATTCTAAGTTTCAAAATGCAAGCTTTCAACTAAAAAAATCTTACTTAGTTTCACAATATAAACATTTTGGAGTAAGGAAGCATCTGAATTAACTAAAATATTCATAGTGTTACAGGGGAAAAATGCAGTGTTTTTCCCAAGAACTGATTGCAGAAACTGGCCATATTTGGGAAAGATATAACTTCTGAATTTTGAGTGCTCCTATTTGTTGCAAATGTTACATGCAGTAGTCTGATACAAAATTTCTTATCAGAAATACTTGTTTTTAAAGGGAAAAAGTCTAGTTATAAAGTTGCAAAATATTTGGATTCACTAGATGAATTTGTGGGATGGAAAACATTAGTCAATTGTTAACAGCAAAAAAATGTTCCCCAAAAGAAGTGACAGTCTACTATATTCAGTCCTTCTGAAGAAAAGGATTTATTTGTGAGAAAATCGTCTCCTCTTACTTGTGTGGCTAAAAACTAATCTGAAAAAGTATTTGAAGGGATTTTACACTGAACTATGGAATTTTTCAATGTATGTATACATTTCATTATGTGATATTTTCCTGGGTGTCATTTGTTTATGAATAGCGTGATCTTAGGAACTAAAGATGCATTAAATTTGATGGCTCTTATCTGAGGAAAGGTCATCTTGTCAGACTGAAATTAGAGTGAATTTTTTAAGAATATAATCCCAAATGATTGAAGTTTAGAGCTCTAAGAATTCCTACTCAGCCACCACCTACTGGTTCTGTTGCCCTAAGCACCCCAGCCTGGTATGCAGAGGAGCTAGTTTCACAAAACGTACCCATGACACAGAAGCGTTTTTATTACAATGCTTACAGTTGTATTTCATTAGCTATGTTAATCCCACACTAAGCAAATTTCCCCTGCAATCTCCCAGCAAGAGGTATTTTTGTGTCTAATTCATAAGGGAACACATTAACATTTTGCCATTACAGTTTTTTGAAAAGACTGTCACTTTCCTGCAGCTAAGAAAAAAAAAGTTTTGCCCACATATTTTCCTTTAGGAGGCAAGAACAAGATGATTTACTCAGTAAGTAGCAACAATGTCTGATAGCTGCTTTTGTGTGTTACATGGGTAGGATTTCTCCCTTCAACAGTAACTTAGAACTTATGCTTGCATACACAAAATTCATACACTTTAAAATACTTTTTTTTTCAATTCACTGTCTTTCAGTTAAAGATCTGAAAGTACTTAACATAATGAATTATGCCTTCAGGCCACCCTGTATAGGAACTGAGGTATATCGCCAACTCTAACATTTTTCCCGTAAATTGTCACCCTCCACTTACACACTTGCAATGTACACAACACACAAGGCCAGATTTGGCCCTGTGACTTCCTGGATTACTCACTGGATACCCCTCCTCAAAGACATCTGCAGAAGCATGCATTACTGTTTACCGAACTATTTTGCTGACCACAAGGCTGTTGTGGGGTTGTTTTTTGGCAGCAGCAGCAGATGGAAGTTACCGTATGAATACAATAAGGTGTCCTGTACTGTGCTAGTCTTAAAGGATCTTTCAAGTGCTGATCCCTGCTGCAATTACCTTTCTCATTGCCCACATTCATGGCCCACTCTTTCTGGGAGCAGTACTTATCTATAGCGTCCAGCACACTACAGGGGTCTCCTCGGACTGCATTCTGCAGCACAAAATTTAAAATCCTCTGTTCTTTGCTCTGATTCATGATGAAATTGGTTATTTTCTCCCGGATTATTTCATTCCAGATAAGGGCAGCAGTGCCGTTTTTCCTGATGAGCACCACAAAGAGCAGCAAAATGAAAAGCAGGAGGAAGACAATGAACAAAGGGACTGAAGAGCTCTCCAGCATCTGGAAGGGAAGAGAAAAACAGCCCAAGATTAAGGTGGCACGGGACAGAGCTATCCTTTTTTTAAATATTAAGCTGAATAACTCACAACCAACCACACTGAACGGGAACATACAGAGTTTAATTACGATACTGTCTAGAGTAGCTGAAAATTATTCCCGTCGCTTGGTAATGGATGGTGCTATGTGGCGCTCCCTTTAGAAGCCAATTTTACAGGCAGTCAACAAGTAGCTTTATTTAATACTCTCGTCCCTTCCCCCACACAGCTGCTCAGTCCTGGCTCCGAACATGCCACTGCACAAGGAGCCTCTCAGCATCATATCTGTTCTAACTATTTTTCAAAGGATTTAAAATCTTAAATTAGAGCCTGCATGCAATCTCACTCTCCTAATTTTTGTGCACGGGGAAACTTCTAAACTGGCCTTGGTAAGAAAATATGGAATGTCTCACCCTTTAATTCAGAGCACAGTATCAGCAGAAACTGGGCCCTGTTAGGTAACATTCTGTTTCAAATCAGTCTGCAGGTCGTGAGTTACTACCTCGCATGCAGACCTCTTTGCTAGCCCCTGCCCTTCTTGCATGCTCTGCAGAGAAGCTGAGCTTGATGTTTCAGTAGGACTTGACCTGCCTCCTTCCTTTCAGAGCCTGCAGCAGAAGTACCCAGGTGGAATGGTTTACAGAAAATAGAAGCCTTTTTCCTGCTTATAAAACCTTTGACATGAGCCATCAATCTGATACTTTTAAGAACAAAAGATGCATTTCCTTTTATAACGTAGGGATGTTTTCTTACTGATAATAAAAACATAAAAGTTGAATCCCTGAATCAGAGAAGAGTTCAGGCTCATAAAATTGAAGTGATGTCACAAAAGGGCATATTGTACTTCTCTGATGGGCCAGCTCAGATTATCTGATGGGATTGTGCCTGTTCTCCCCCTGAAATTCAGTGTCAAAGCTGCAGGTGCCTATGTGTGTGCAGTATGGTGTGTGTTTCTGTTTGTGAGTTTAGGGCATCTGAACGTAAAGCTCAGCAGATGGGATGCATGTCACCCTGTACAGCTCAAGCAATAAATCCCATCGAAGTCATTTACTCTGATGGATTTCAGACAAGCCAGTATACAGGAGGGTGCATTTACTTCCATGCAGGAGTCACAGCATAAAAGATCTGCTAAAAAAAGGTCTTAAAATTAAGGAATTGATTTAGCCTTTGAGAGGGTGCCAAACTAAGGGTTATGATTTCCCTGAGGATTCTCTGCGTGTGAAGCTCCTCTTGTACAACTCAAAACACACCTAATTTCTGATGAAGTAGCTTGTAACACCTCCACTTTTCCACCTCTGCTCCCCACAAGTGGGAGCTGACAGTTGCACACTGGGAGGAGAGCACTGGTTGGTATGTACTCCAGTTAATATTAGGATGAATGAATGCCAAGTTCATTTATTCTTTAAGTCTAATTAGGCATTTGAACACGGGTCTAAAGGGTTCAGAACCAGTTTCTTAACCTCAGCAGGCTGGATTGAGCTGCACTGGTTTTTAAACTGTTATTTTTAAAGAACATTGCACTCAACTCTTTCTAGTCTCTGATTCTTTCTATTAAGTCTCTTTCTCTTCCAGCTTGCTAAAAATGGTGAACAGCTTCCAGTTGCACTTGTATTAATGTTCCACCTACCTGGAGTTCAGCAAAACCATTGCTTCAACAGGAGCTACAACATCCTCAAAAATTTTGCCTAAGTTGCCCAAGATCAGAAGTAAAGGGGCTATGTGACTAGCCGAATATTCCCCCAGATCATTTCCTACCTGTTCTTGCTTCCCTTTTTTGTTTCACCCAAAATTGTCCCAGGAAAATTGTAAATTTTATGGGTGGTCAGACCTTCACTCTGTAGTGGGACTTGGCATATACACATTACACATGGCAAAAATCTGTCCCACTGCTTTAAATTTTGAATCGTCATGTAGAACACATTTTGAGTTCAGAGGATGACTGAGTTTCCATGGAGATATGCTCAACCTACAGTACAGCTGATGTTTGTTCACCCATCCACTTATCTCAGTTGCACAGCAAGTACGATTTGTTTGGAGCAGTTAAAAGTCTATTTCTTTTGCTTTTAAGTAGTCACCAATATTAATACTTACCTTTAATGCTTTCCTTGCAAAGTCTGACCTGAGACATTTCCTTTCAGGGCTTGCCAGCATCATTAGCACATGAAAATCTTGCTGCTTGGGCTTTTTGAATTTTGTTTCCTAGCTAATAAGAACCTGCTTCTTTACCTCAACAAGATCATGAAGGTCTGGACATCAATTTTTCTTCTTTCCTTCTATGCCCTAGTAGTTCTACTGATCAGGCTCAACTGTTCTGCACCTTCCAGGTGGAACTTCTGCTCTTTCTAGTTGTTCTGCATGAAGATGTTCTGCATTATCTGTCCACTGAGAACTTGGATTAGGCTATGAAAATATCATTAGTTTAACAGAAAAATATCTCTCTAGCTTCACTTGGCTTGTCTTCACTTGGCTTTCATGGCTTAGTTGATTGTATGGTCATTGTTGATGGATTTGGATTACTGACATAGTTGAGAGATAATTATTCTGAACTGCAATGAATGGATGGAGCCCAGAAACCATCTACTGACACCAGCAGGTATCTAACCTTCCTGCCTCTGGACAGGGGAAACTGTGAGCCCTTCATACCAGTGACTCACTTGGTGGCAGTCCAACCGTATTCAGGTCCCTCTAGAACTGAAGACTGTTGGCATTCAGAATTATTTCAGACTACTGCCAGACATAATCCTCTGGTTACAATGGATATTTTGGCATCCTCTGAGTACAACTTGCCACAGGCTGTCGCTTTGGCACTATGAGATTCTGCCAGCGTGTTTGGGGCTGCCCTTTAAATATCTGTCAGACAGCAAGAATGGATGATAGCTGCAGGATGAACTAGGTGGTGTGGGGTTTTTTGAGCAACAGGTTTCCTCCTTCATTGCTTAGTATAGATATAAGACCATTTGGTGAGATTTCTCAAAACAGTGAGGGATAACATCTGTAGGCTAATTCAGCCCGCTCCCTGTCCTGTAGGAATGCTGAGACTTCTTTTTTGAACATAGAACAGACTGTGAAGGCTTCATGTTATACTTTAACAAAAAGGACCTGCTTGACAGTAAAATCCTGTCCCTCCATTTTCACATTGTTTCCCAGGCATGGAAGGGTATGTTACCAAGCCAGATTTCCATTGTCTTATTTTCCCACACTGCCACAGGCTTTATACACCAAAATTACAAGACAGCACATGCTCAAAAGCCCATGTATTAAAGTAGGACAGCTTCTTCATTGTCTGCAGCCTGTGAAATGCTATTTCTTAATGTGTCTTTGTTAGCCAGAGCAGAGAAAAGCACTCAACTTGGATAAGACCTGCTGATTTTAGTGACTTCAGCCGATCTCAAACAAACAAATACTTCACCCTCATCTTTACTTGGACAGCAGTATCCTTTCAAAGATTTAGTTGTTTTGAAAGAGTGCACTTTGTGCAGAGAAAGACGCCTTGTTTGTGATGTAGATGCCCTATCTTTTCAAAGGGATAGATTGTATTTAGGCTGCTGCAACCCATGGCAGGTACGGATGCAACTAGCTTAACAAAAAGGTATAAATTGGGATGTGCTTCTGAACCACACAGATAGCCATAGCCTTCTATCTCTTCTAGCCATTCCTTATGCAAAAGCATGAGCAGGCTGACAGTCCTTTAGTTTGCCTGGAAGGGCAACGACTGTTCTGATGGGCCACCTGGGAAACAAATTTTGGATCTTCAGCTATGAAATCTCATTGCTTCGAGTTCACCCAAGAATCCCCTCTGAAGGCAAAATACTGACCCGCATTTCTCTTTCTGTCTGTTTGGATGATGACCGGTGAGTGGCTGTTAGCACTGGTTTGTTTACACATTTTGTGTAACACTTTTATCAAGAAAAAAAAAAGCTATAAATTTAAGCTCAAATGTGTGTGCAATTTGGGGATGGTCTTAGATATAAAACTTAAGCAAGGAAACAATTCAGCTTGGCCATTCCTATGATCAAGTGCTCAGAGGGATCCATTTCTTACAGTGCCTCAGTGAGATCTTTGCACTTCTGACTCGCACATGAATGCTACCATACGCAACACAGAGCCCACCTGCCTCCACAGATCCTTAGAGGTTGATCACAGGTAGCAAGAACCTATATAGCACATGCTGCTTTTTTCCATTCCTAGACAAGTTCTCTTGCTTTTGCTGTATCAAGGAATGTTTTTCATCTATTGGGGGTTTTTTATCGTTATTATTGCTGTATAACACCCCAGCACCTTCATAAACTGGGAGTATGGGTTGTTCTTAGCAGAGCTCCTTTAGGAGGCAATTATCCTGAAAACCACCTTCCAGAGAAGGTAATTTTTAGAAGGAGCAAAACAGACATATCTTGGTTTTATTTTCTTTTCTTTTTTTTTCAAACATAGGTTCTTTTTCAAAGTTTATCCCTCTTAATTTCTGTCTTCTTAGGTGTGAAAATAAATTTAGTGATAGCAGTAGACTGTAAAAACAGCCTGCCAAATGCAAGATGCATCTGTGATGGTCACGCACCCAGAGGGGAAAAAAAAATCTGTACCAAAATAGGTAATTGCTTTCATATTCTTAGCTGGAAAAATATTTGATATGAAAATTAAGAGCATAATTCAACAAATTTAAAACTACCACTACCTAAGAGACAGTCTTGTTATGACAGCTCTAGAAAATGCAACTGTAATTTTAGCTTTAATGTGGATTCATGAGATTCACTAAATATGCAATAAAACTGAACTTGCACATAGTCAAGTTTCCCATAACCACTTACTACAAGGCAGTTGCTCTTATTATTTAATGCTTGACCCGAGGTTCCAAATACACAGGTTAGCACTGCAGCCTCTTCAGTGCATTAGAAACACCATGATAAAGTCAGCCTTCTCTTTGAAAGCTAAAATTTGAAGTGGAAAATAGGACGAAAAATGAAAAATTCA